AATTATTTGTCTGAATGTCGTTTCAATTTTAATTATATATATATATATATATATATATATATATATATATATATATATAAAAGTTAATTCAATCAGATTCATATTCCCTTTGTAACTTGTCGAGCAAAGGGATACTTTCATGAATATTACATATCAAGCAGAAAACACATATAAATTATAATAGGTATAATTTGAACTCTCAAACTATTTTCACGAACTAGTTACACAAAGTTTAACAGATTACTCTGGTACAAATACTTTACATTCAAGAATACTAGAGAAAGATCATACTATCAGTTTATCATTTGTTTAAAAATGACTTTTTATCATTCGTTATATAAATACGTAATCGTCAATATGCTTTTTGTGAGACAATGTTTAGTTGCTTATTCATTTAGCAATACAGTTAAAGTCCTGATATTATAACCAGAATCTTCAGACAGAGAGCGAGACAAATGTATATAGATCTATACAGGATTGACAATCCCGCACTCAGACTGTTAGCTACAGTTGGGCATGCATGCATATGAGTGACAAATGTCGTTAACAGTTATGACGCCTACAAAGCGTCGTTTCAGGCCATCTAGTCATAGTATGGTGATAATAACTCACCAAAAAGATATGAACAAATACGATTAGTGTATAATTAAACCAAAGAGTACGAATACAAAGTACAGGTTTTACAATAATACAATTTATAGTATTACACTACAGTTTATAGCTGGTGCATCGAGGCATACTCACTTTTACAAGGTTTTCAAAGAGTACTATTACAAAACTTGAAAAACATAAACAATACAGAAAACATTCTTTATACAGTTTTATGGTATAAAAACTACTTTTCAGTTATATTAGAAAATATTAGATTTTCTGGTACAATAAACATAAATACTTATGCACTCACTCAACTTAAATGTTGATACTCTCTTTTCAAAACATTTGTATTATCAGGGAACCAGTATACAGGTATATTACCGGGATTTTTGAAAAGACTGAGCAGTATAGAGTCATGTCTTCTATCTTTTGTTATTATACTTTTGAGGTCATATATACAATGACTTGAAAACATATGTAAAATTTATACATTATTAATGCAATGTTTGTTGTACTTTGATTACTATAATGCATGTGTTGTGATACTTAAACATGAAGTCATCCACCCCCCAACGTTTCCGCCGCTCCGGTTTAGGGGTGTGACAGACTTGAAATAAATAACTTCAACAAAATATTCAAGAAGATTAATAAAGTAAAGTACGAACAAAGTAAACAAATCAAGAACAAGAAGAATTTATGAGAGATTATTGACAGAAATTTGAGTGTGAAGTGAAGGATTCTATTAATGCACAAAAGAGGTATGAAAGATATATTTTCAGTACAAGGTTGAGACTCCTTTTATAGCCAAATGAGTCAATACATGACAAATACATAGAATAAAGAGAACTTGCATCACTAAACAAAAACCTGATATAGTGGATTTTCTCTGATTCTACATAATACTAAAAATGGAGTAAAATAAAAAGAACTTTCTTCATGTCAGGGAAAGTTGACTAAGTTCCGAATCCAAGGCATCTCGGAACTAGTCATTTCGGAGTCTCCATCTCTGAATCTCCACTTCATCTTTAAAATAACATCCCATCTCGTAATGGGGAATGATCTCAAAGTCTTCAGATCTCGGATAACCAACTGTCTTGAAATCATCATGTTCATCTTGGTTGAGAAGTGATTTCGGAATCACTTCTCCATCTCGAATGGCTTCACATCTTGGATTGTCTAAGGGGCACTTTCATGTACTAACAAGAATGAAGCAAGTATTATTGTCTATTGATACTTTGAAATTTTACCAATTTGTTTAGGTTTTTCGAAATTGCTATGTTTTTATCTTGACTTTGTGAAATTGTTATGTTTTTATTGATGTTATTGACGTATTTGCTAATTTTTGTTGAAATTGAAATTGTATGTATAGGTTTATATGAAACTGAAGTTGGTCCTTGTATAATAGTTTGATTGTGTTACTTGTTTGGTCTTTGTAAGATTATGTTATTTGTTTAGGTTTATATGAAATCGAAATTGTATGTATAAAATGTTAACTTACTTGTTTAGGACTTTAGGTTATATGAAATTGAAATTATGTATAAAATGTTATATGAAATTCAAAAATGTTTAGGTTTATATAAAGGGATATATACAGTAAAGTCCCAATATTTTAATCGATTTGACAAGAAAGTCTTAAACTTTATTTTTTTGACAGTAAAGTCCAAATTACCGGCAGTTTTTGACATTTTTACCCTTTTTTCCGGTTAGCCGGTAATTATGACTTTTTTGTCAAAAAAATAAAGTTTAGGACTTTCTTGTCAAATCGTCAAGTAGGACTTTACTGTCAAAAAAATAAAGTTTAGGACATTCTTGTCAAATCGTTGAAAATATTGGGACTTTAGTGTATTTTCGTAACCCAAGAAATTTTAATTGTGACTTTTGTTGCAGCACCACTGTTTTTATTACCATCATCATCTTTACCCTGACACAATCACGATCAGGAGAAACATATGCAAAAGAGAGCGCGAGAAAGGGTGAAAAGACTTGTAAAACTTTCTTCTTGCTTCGCCACCAAATCTTGAACTAAAAAGTGGGGGACAGATTATACAAACACAAACAACACATACCTAGTAAAAAAGGTGTGAATGTAGAGAAGGGAAAAAAGGGCAATTTTGTTTTTTTTTTGGTTTCTTATTTCTCCATTTTTGGGACTGCAAAAATGTGACAACCCGAAAATCTTTGCCTTGTAAGTTCAGCCATTCAATCCAACCGAGTGTCAGACTCGTTTTTGCTATCTTTTAGCCTTGTTTAGAGCCTGTTTAAGGGTTCAAAGCTCAGTACATTCAAGCATTGAGTATAGGATTGAGTCGTGTAAGTTCTTAGCCTTGAAATCAAGCCATACACTCCATGTGAGGGAGTGTACGGTCATACACATGAGTGTACGGCCGTACACACATGTGTGTGTGGCCGTACACCCATGTTGGTCGTACACCCCCTCCATAAGAGTGATATCCCTTCATTTCTAAGCCATTTCTTCAGTTTCCAAGTCAAGAACATCGATTTCTCTCTCAACTATCATCGAGCTTTCATCCCGATCTTCAAGAATGTAAGCCTTTCTTCTGTTTTGATTTGTTGTTATCCTTCTTAACTTAGTAACACCCTTTTATTTCATCCATTGTAAATCATCTTTTGACTAGATCTTCAAATCTTCATCCATTTCACCAAGAACACACACTTGTTCTTGGTGATTGTGAGCCCTTCTTGAGCCTCCAAATCGTAAGTACTCCTTCCCTATGCTTAGTACATGTTAGGAACACTTGATTAACACCTTAAAAACGACCAAAACTCAAGATCCAAAGGAGTGTACGGTCGTACACCCATGTGTGGTCGTACACCCCTCAAAACACCCTTAAAGGGCCTCCAAAATGCAAACCTAGCTTCAACACTTGATGATCAATTGTCCCACAAGCTTCCCTATCATTAGAAGACCATTTTGTGCACTTGTTACCATGAGTGTACGGCCGTACACTCCATGGCCGTACACCCATGGCCGCACAATCCATTTAGTGGCCGTACACTCCCCTTAGATGAATCAAATGTGATTCCAACACTTGGTCCAAGTGTTTCCTAGTCCCTAAAGGTGTTTCCTTGCATGTGGTTGGTTCTAAACATTATATTCATGCCAATATATGTCATTATATGTCGTTTAGGAGTCGTTTGTGTCTCGGGACTTCATTCGTGGAACTTTTCATCCTTACGCCCATATTTGTTTGAATCACCCACATAAAGTGATTTCATACCCCTATAATCAATCTTTTAAACTGTTTTAAATGTTTTTTAAGGGGGGGAATACAAGTTGAACACAATTGATAATTGTGTAAATGTTTGTTATAAACATCTTTCAAAGGTTGCTTATATTTTATAAGTGATCAAAACATTTCAAAAACTCTTGGGAGGGTTCTCCACTGTTGCCTCCGGCGTCACCTTGTAGAAATTAATTTCGATTTAGGAGGCAGAGGTAGAGAACAACGACTTGAAAGTTGAAACTAAGAACTTGAGAAATGAGAATAGAACGAGTGTTTTTGTTTTAGGTAGACCTAGCAATTCGTGTATTCGTGTCATGAAAATGTGTCAGCCACGAATTTGACACGATACGATTACACGATGAGAGATAAGCTTTATCTCATTTTTTAAGATGTATTCATGTCGTGTATTCGTGTCGTGTCGTGTCTCTCACAGATTCGTGTCTTCGTGTC